CTGAAACGGCAAGCAAGCGTCTTGTTAGCCAACCTCTGAAGCTCAGGAGCCAGGCGGTCGAAGGTCTTACCTGCGGCCGCTGGCTGAAACATGTGGGTTTCCTTTGCGAGCCTCACGTTTCGGCAGGTGTGCGCGCAGGGCCAACTTTTGTCGCATAATCTCACACACACTTGATATTTGCGACTTTACTGGCCGCCCCAATGCTGACCCATGCCGCGGCAAAGAAACGCCATGGGCATGTGATCGGCCTTGAGCATGACATGTTGATACTGCTATGGAAACAAAGAGCTCACACCGTGAAAAGACCAAGCGCGCTTTCGATTGAACTCGTACAAAAGCCCCCCGCAACTCCTTACCATACTTCATTCTACAAAGACAGCCTAGCGCAAGAGGATTCCCTACTCTCGCGGCGGCCTGGAAAGGCTCCGACAATGTTGAGAAACCAACCAGACCTTGAAATGATCACAAATGTTTGCGCCTGCTTCTGCAAAGCTCCGGTGTAGCCGCTTCTCGCTCCGCGCAGTGCGCACGCCGCGCGCGGCTCGAAGCAGGGGGCCAGCCTCCTCCCTTGGCTGCAGGTGATCCCATGGGCCTCAAGAAAACCTTGGGCATATGGTAGCCCTGCCAATGATGGGTCGGATGGGAAAACGTAGGCTTAGCATCATCATGCAATACATCAAACCATCTATCACTCTGCAATGTGTTTGATCAGGGCAAGGTTGAAGCCAGAAATTGGGCTTTGCTTCTGGTGAGCTGGCGATCGGGTCCAGAATTTCTCTGTCACGTTCTCAACCAGGCAAGAATCTGCTCATGCCTCTAAGAATATATTGATGTCTACCACATTGCACCAAATCTGAAGAGCACAGTCTACCGCGAACATGTTTGGACAGCGAATGGTACATGGAAACGGTCCTTCTCAGGTTGATTATGTGATTACAACCAAGCTTACCAACGACGCCGTTCAGATTGCAGGCTTTACGGGAGCTCATGAAACTGACTCGGACAAACATTATATGGAGCCTTTGGTATTGCTAAGCTCGGGTTCAGGTATCCTACTTGCATCCCTACCAGCATCCCAAGTTTGGTGATTCTTTTCCTAGCGCAGAAATATCACAACACTGGCAGCTTCTCAACAAAACACCTCCACCCCTTGAATCCTTAAATTGGGAGCCTGCAGGATCCTCCTGCAATCTCCATAAATGCTTAGGGGTCTGTAGGGGCTGCCCCTATTGAGAAAAAAATCCCCAGCTGTGTTGCGACAAGCAACGGGAGCGCCAGGCGAGCAGCCCGTAAGGTATACAGCCAAACCTCTGCGAAGCCTGTGTTCCTTCGCGCTTCAGTGCAGGGGTTGATTTGGAGTCTAGACTCGTGTATGGGAAGGTAAGCTGGCGCTACTCAGCTGATGTGACCAGCTTGTTTCGAAAATCTCTAGACCCCTGACCCCCAAAAAGCCTTGTGCATGTGTGTGCTTGGCTTACTCCTCCACGTTAGGCAACGTCGTAGACATGTGGGTCAGAGGGCGCAAGTACCGATGAAACTGTCTGTGGAGGCTGCAGTGGGTCAGCTCCTCTGGCTCCTCTGGAACACTACTCAAAAAAAAAGTACATATACAGAGAGAGAGCGTGCGAGAGAGAAGAGAGAGAGAGAGTGCAGAGAGATAATCATCATATCTTAAATTGTTAAGCGATGGGGAACTTTCTTACGAGATTTGACCTCTGGGAGGTAGTGGCAGGAGAAGAATCTCCAACAACCCCGTAATGCAAATTATTCCTACTGCGGTGCACTATATTCTACTGGGAATGTTTGAAATTACGGGGGGGGGGGTTCAAATACTATAGGGGTAACCGATTAACCCCTATATATTGCTAGTCAACCCTACTGTAGAGGCCTAAATGATTACTACTGATGTTGAGGTCATCAAAAGCCCTATACCATAATAATGAAAATAGGACCAAATCATTTTTCAAGTATTCCTACAAAGCCTCGTGTAACCCCACTTGCCATGTCATTGTCCATGTTCTTTCGCATTGAATTCTCCATTAGCAGGGGGGAACTCCCCAAACTCTTAATTGCAGTTTCCCTTTTCTTTTCCGTTATCATTATACAACCCCTAAACAACACTGTATAATCCTGTTTGTAGCCCCATATATAACAGGGGTTCTACCCAGTACCTATGTAAACCCTAAACCCTAAAATGTGAACCCTGAACCCTACAAACCCTATAAACCCTGAATCCTGTAAACCCTTTACCCTAAATCCTTCAAATATTCAACCAGTCCCAGCCGCCAGTCGAGGTCGTCAAAGTGGGTCTCCTCTGGGAAGCGGCCTCAAGGGTTAGGGTTTAGAGGGTTTAGGGATTTAGGGTTGGGGGCTTAGGGTTTAGGCACGTGGAATTTCGCAGGTTCATGCCATACTAGACCCTTTTGATCACAGATGCAAGACACCCCCCCAAGTGTTAAATCTGTCTCACGAAGAAAATACGTAACACTAAATTGTAAGATCCTAGCTGGGGCGGGTTTGATATTCTAAAGCAGGGACGATTTTGATGTAAAACAAAGCTCTCCAGACCGAGCTATCCCACCTCAAGCTGCAGGCTTGTACCCGTGCCCCTTTGGCTTTTGGTCAGTGGCCTATCATTTACTCTAATGGTATGCCCTATATACTATTATGATCTGCCGGAATGTATTATAGTGTGTTGCAGGGCTTAGGGCTTAGGGTTGACTTTGGCATATACATTTTTCAGCATGATGCCGCAGATCCCCAGCCGCCTAAAGCCCAAACAATGCACTGAACCCAACTCTCTAAGGCCCAAAGCTTCACGAATTCTAGCGCCAACACTAACATCCCCATGTATCTAAGGTCCTACAGTAAGCTCTAAACTCCTAAATCTAAATTCCTAAAAAACAGAAGTCCGCGAAGCCCAACACCCCAAATCCACAGATCACGACACCCTACCCTAAACCCCGAATCCCAATGCCTATAAGCCCAGCACATCGTAAACGCTACAAGCATGATGAACCCTAAACCCTATAAATCTTACGACTTCATAGCACCCCCAAACCCTACAAACCCGATAAATCGATGAACCCTACAAGCCCTAAATCCTCAACTCCAGACCCAACAAAAACCGGAGCCGTACACCCTACAGACCCTATAAACTGCTGTCAAACCCTACATGCAAGTATACATCCGCATAGCCCCTGGACCCTCTAAGCTCAAAAACCTTACGCTCCAAAACCCTATATGTCCAAACACCTGAACCCGTTCAACCCTAACTTGCTCTGAACCCTACCCCATACAAACTCTTAACCCCAAAGCCATTGACCATAAGCCTTAACCCTAACTAAACCTGTACCTGGACTTCCCCAACAATTCCCCATAATAACAGCCTATATACTCATATTCTCGGTTCACAGCGATGATTTCGGGTACTTGAGAAGTCCAGGAGAGTAGCTTTTGTTTGGTGGTTAAACCCAGTAAGATAATATTCCTTATATAAACTACTTTACCCGAAAAGGAGGATATAATCTCACTCTACGTTGGGTACCATAGTATCCCCAAATAAAATACTACTGAGGTAGATCCTTCTGGCTCCGCCTGAGGTCTCGAAGGCAGCCAGACGGAAGTCCGTCCGCGCCGCCAGGGCCGCGGCGGCGAAGTCTTCGGGCGACGGCCTTTTTCTTGCTGGCTGCGCTTAGCTACTTATATGCATATATGTACATACAGAAAGAGATGTGAATACGCACCAGTAGAAATAAATGTGTATATATATATATGTATATTATATTGCAAGGAGGCCCGGCTGTCTTCAGCCCGCCTCCACGCACTCGCTGAGCGCACGGTGGCCGAAAGCAAAGAAGCCAGGGCCGCTGCGATCCGCGGCATCCGCATGGAAGAAATCACCATGCCAACATGCTGTACGTGTCTAGCATACTTTTACCTTTGGTTAGCTGGGAATGAAGGAATGGAAAAGAAAATGGAAACTACTACAATGGGTTAGATAGGGACTACTATAAGGATCCATTCCTTGGTTCCTAGCTAACCAAAGGCCACTTGTACAAAGAGCTGGTCCAAGAGAATATGCTCGAGTGCCTGCTGTAAAGCCGGCATAGGATGAACATGTCGCCTACGGACTCCTATTCTAGTTGCGGTGCAAGTCGTTTCATGTTTTAAGCGCAGCTAGAAGGATCGACTGATTGTTCCTAGGATCCTAGGGGTCATTGCTGCTTCCTCCTCATCAGGGGTCTGTGGGAGATGCCTTGCTTTAGGCTTCGAAGGTGCGCTTGAACAAATACATTACTGAGTTGGCCTTATTCATGTTTGCGCACACTATGCAAAACAGACTAGCTTACGGATTGCTGTCGTCTGTATGATACAGCTCCTATTAACTTGGGCATATCCAAAAGCCAGTCCCTGTGGAAGTGAAACACCCACCCAATAATGCTGACACGAACGATCAGCAGAATCCTTATTGGTGGGAAGGTGTCGCGATTCATTATTAGCTGGACGGCCGCCTGCAGCCTAAACTCCTTTTACCACTTACCAAGAACCTTAAGCTGGCTGCTGCATGCTGCTGCCTCCAGCCTGTAACAGTCATACTTGTCTGTGAACCTTGTGAAGGGTATGTGCCCTATTCCTAGAAGAAGAATATTGGCAAAATGTGAAAAGGTGCCGTATGGTACGTGAGCTACACTGAGCATTTCCCGTATCATGAATGGACATGGGCCATGGGTTCCAATTACTATATATATATATATATAGAAGGAGGACTCTACTAAGCTACCACAGAGACCCTATGTCCACCCTCAGTGGGCTTCTGGTAAACCTGACATTGACAATAGCGCATTAACCCAAATACTACAACTACAAAGTGTCCATGTTATTTTCCATGTTCTTTGTCCATCTCGTTTTCCATTATCCCTGATCGGGTGGTTGTATCATGTACCTAAACCCTAAACCCTAACTCTGACAACATCCCAAGTAGATTACACCATTAGCACCTCCAGCGCCAGCAGCTTCCGCTGGCGCCTTCGCTTCTGGGCCAGTGCTCGGCGGCCTGAAGGCGAGTTCGCTTGTGCAGAAGCGTGTAGTGCTTGGGACTTAGGCCTGAGCTTTCGGAGTATGAGCTTAGAGGCAGGGGTTAAAGGCCGTACCCATTGGGGTCATGTTAGGGGTTATAGGGGTTATAGTGGGATTATATTGGGGTTGTACTGGGATAACGGAAAATAAAATGTAAGCTAGCGTAAGCATCGCAATAACTTATAAGCAGAATTGATACGCCTCCTTGTTTATTGGCCTCTCTTTTCAGTTTTCCTGTAGGGAGACCTCTTTGCACTTAACCTGCAAAGCTTCACATGGACCAAGTAGAATTACCCTGCCGTCGCTGCTACAAGCCACCGGCCCGAAGACAAACACTGCAATCTCAATCCTGCAGTCTGTGAACACAGATGCCCCGAACCAGGTGGCCCAACCCCTAAACTCCGTTACCCTGTAAAAACATCCGGCATCCCTCAACACCAAACCCTCTTCTGAATCTAAAACCAGCCGGATGAAGCAAACGCCGCCGAAGATCTTTGCCCAGGCTCTGGAGTCTCTTGCTCCTCCTTTGCCCTTGGCTGCCAAACTCTTGGGCTGCAGGGGCTGGGAGACTGGACTTATGTTTCCTGGTTGAAGACTCCAGCCTTGCTTTACGCATTTGGAAACTGAGTCTTGAGTTTCGGCTCTAGGGTCCCTGAGTGAAAATATGTAGGTGTGCGTCTGTAGGGCCTAAAGGGCAACAAGACTACACTTTTTTCCTGGATCCCAATGCTGGCACCCCGCACGGTGGCGTGTGTAGTTTGCTTGGGGGTTCGGGCTCTCGGAACCTAGGACCACGTACACGAAGTATTGGTTGTTACAGGGGCTTCATGGCGTAGTCAAAAACAAAATCGCTGAAAATGATGCATTTGGCCACGTGAAGGCTAGAGAATACTGGACCTGCTAGCATTTGGTGCACATGACTCCTGAGAGAGGCCTTGGGAACGCAGAAGGTAATGTGCCGCGCAAGAGCTGAAGCAACAAGACACCAGGAGAACGCCAACTGAAACGGAAGAGGCCCTCCGGGGATTACCTATTTGAAAGCGGTTCCATGGAAGCAGCAAAAGGAGATGTGCACGTGCAGCATTGCTAGAACATGTTTGCTAGTATCCCCCGCAGCCCCACCCCACTCCCCACCCACCCTGGCAGATGGTCAAAACAGCAGAACACAGCTGCCAACACCAGGCAAACTACCCCCATGCCTCCCCCTACATGGGCAGAGCCCAAACTAAGGGTCATGACTGATTTCCAAAACAAACATACTCTTAATGAGTCTTGATGTCAGAATCCTCCAACTTCCGCACAGTCAATCGCCTGGTAAAGCACAACGAACCTCCACAAATGCAAGTTTCAATGCTCCCAATTGTCACAAATCACACGAGGTTCCTTGAGGGACCATCGGGCTGCATGAAGATTACAATGGGTGTTTCCCTTAAAGAGTGCATAAATTCCGCAGTAGTCGTTGTGACAGCCTGCCACATTTGTGTCTGAGCCCCCCGCGCTTCCAAACTTTTCTTGGACCGGAGGACGGGAGCTCGGTTCAGCAGCACCTGGGCAGGCATGTGGCAAGCAGCCTTCTAGGAATGCTTAGCAGTGGTGGTAGTGGTAGTGGTAGTGCTAGTGCTAGTGGTAGTGGTAGCGGTAGCGGT